TAGCCGTTTTCTTCGTCGTCTTAGTCTTCTTTTTTTCTTCCTGTGACTACTTATTCGCTTTTTTTTTCTAATAGTTTTTCTCCGTTTCTGCTTAATGACTAATTTACCTTACAGTTCGGAGTTATTGTTGTCGTTTTTTTTGCGTTTTTCACCGTCCATTTGTTCCCAAACAGTCATTTCAAAAGCGAAAATAAATTTTGTTAATGATTAATAGCATGACAAAAACTTACGGTTAATGAAAGAAAAAAAAGATTTTTTCTTTACTTTGTTTTATGAAGAAGGAAATAATCATTGTTAACCATTTGGAAAATAAATAGAAGAATAAAGTAGTTAAGATAACAGGTAAATTAATAGTAGTAATAGCAGCGGCAGCAACATTAACTAATTGGCTGTAGAAGGGAGGATTCAAAAATTTGTAACATAAAGTTACAGTTAAGGATAATTTATGGTTTCTTTCTCCCACTATGTTTCAGCATTTTTATTTAAGACCATTAATTCAACTAATAAACAGTTTTTTTATCTGCAGTATTTCCACAAATATTCTCTTTTGTTGACATTGTCATTGGTATCATTGTTGCCTTTTTGAATTCATTCATCATAAACTTATCAGTGAAACGTTAGGCTGGTCTACAATCTCTGTTCTCATTTGAATTGTTCGACTTCTGTATTAGAATTTTTATAGCACTTGAATCTTCTGAGCACGATGGTGATATAAGAGACATGAAGAAATCAGGATCAAATTTTAGCATCTACATCTAACTTGCAGGTGTAGATGTAAGTTTCTTTTACCTATATTTTGAATTTTATTGTCACAAAGTCTTTTGCTAGTTTTTTCATTGTAATACTGCAATTTTGGGGCGGTTAGCTGTTATAATAGACGGCAACCAAGCCAACCGAATCGGAAGGTAGTGTATACGTCGGTGACCGAACTTCACTGAAGTGTGCCTGCGTATAGAAAATAACCATGGTGTTGTGGTTCCAATCTAAGTGCTGCTAACATTTGCCTGGTCTTCAGAATTGTTTTCTTCACTAATGGAAGAAGTGGTAAAAAGTACTGTTTGTACGCTGTCGACTGAGTTACAACAGGAGTTGTCGAAGGGTGGGAAATACGGGGAAAAAGTTGAACTAAGTATGGGAATGTAAAACAAAAAAAAATTGGAAAGAAACACTTCAAAACTGTTGAGGTTTAAATATTATTGTCTAAAATGGGTCTAAAAATGTGTTCTTAATTTCGCGTTTTTTTTGGCTTTGTTTTGGTTTTATGTACCACTAACATTTTACGGGCATTAGAGAGGCTGTTTCGAAAATCTCTCACCCGGTTTTGCTGCTTTTTTTTATACCGTCAGCTTCTTTTGCCTCTCTTCTGTTCCACAGTCATTTAAGCCTGTTGTTATATTAGCAGGAGATCATCTGTTTGACATTTCACCGGTACCACTTTGCCAGTCAATTTTAGTAGGCTTAAGGACCACAGAAAGAGAAAAAAAAGTGATGAAGGGAGAAAAAGAGCTTTTTTTGTATGTGTTTCGCTGAGCAAAACTATAATTTTTGCCTATATTGTTGTACATTTGATTTACTTAAGTACTTCATCAGTATGTTGTTGCTGATCGACGTTGAGAAATTCTGCATTACAGCTGCGTACAGAGTATGTTATACAGAGAGCATTAGTGTACGAAATACTATCAAACTTTAACAGAAATATTAAAACAAGCAATTTTTTTTCCAGATATTGTCTGATAAAGGACATTAATTTTTAGGTATGTTTAACAGTTGCATTGTATCTGTTTAATTTTTCGCACTTACTAAATTATAATAACAGTGGTATCGACAGCAGTTTAGTAATCCCATTTGCATCTCTGTCTCATACTTCTAGTAAATTTGAACTTTTTTTTTTTGATTTTAACCTATCAGAATGAAACTGTATCGTTGAATAGAGGCTATTGACCGATTTCGTGTAACTATGATGAGGAGTCAACGAGAATCCATATTTTATTTTGGTTTGTTACTGTGTTCGATGTTGACGGGACCGTAGAGACGATGTTTGTCGGTGCTGTAAGATGAGTGCTGTAGATGTACACACATAGATACATCGAAAAAATTGATGGTTTAATTTTTTGGAGACACTTAATGCTGATAGATTTGTTGCTGCTTATTACACAAGTACTTAAGTGTTACAACGAGTCAACCCTTACATCGTCACTGCTGTTTTATTCTTCTCCTTATTTTTTTGTATCAGTTCATCGAATGTGTTTTCAATGTGTACAATTTCAGTGACCAAATTTAGATCTGTTATTTGGTAGCTCGTTGTTATATTTCTATTCTAATTTTAATAATCTAAAAAAAAGTAATACCAATGGTTAGAAATCGTCTAAATGATTGCTTTCTTTTAACTTTTTTTAATTTATGAATTGGTGTAATTATTCCAATAACTTTTTTCATTCTTATAATTTTTATGTATTTATCTTTTTTTTTTGGCTAAGATGGAAGGAAGAACGAAGTATAAAATTGTTTAAGTCTGAAAATTCTTAAACAATTATTCTGTAAAAAAATTGGTGATCTTTTTCTTGGTTTATGGTGTACTGTCAGAGTGGTAAATAGTAAGCCAATTCAGCTTTAATAATAATTTATCTTCCACAGGTGAATAGTGATCATATTTATCATGAAACTTTTTTTTAACTACAATTAATAAAGTCAGCCAAAAAAAAAGTGGTCTTTCCTCTTCGATCTGTATAAAATTGGATGGAGATAATTTCTAAAAGATTATTATCTTGTTTTCTTCTTTTTTTTTTCTTTTTCGTTATTTTTTTTCGACCAAATATTGTTCGAAATGATGCTGGTTGCAGTTTCAGCAATAGCAAAACTGCTTATGAAGATTAAAAAATACGCTTCAATCACAGCAGTTTATAGTCTTTTTTTTTGTATACCGAAGAAAGCTGTTTGGTAAACAGTAAAATATTTAAGGTATTTAGATTGGGAGCTGTTGGGGGAAAAAAAGTAGTTTTTTTGTCTTTTTTTTTTCAATTGTTTTTGTTGTCAACGTTCAAAGCTGACGGCATCTGTTGATTTTGTTTAACAGACAGTGAATGTTTGCCGATTGAATACTGTTTAAAGTTGAAAAAACAATAACAAAAAAAAAAAAGAAATTCAGCAAAAACTAAGGGAAAAAATTTTTATTTCTATTTATTTATTTATTTCCTTTATTTTTTGTTTATAGCCAAAAAAGAAAAATTTTTTTTTCGTCTCCATTGCTTTTTGTTTCTCCTCTAAAAAACTGCCCAAACTTTTCGTCTTTGCGTAGTATTACACAAATTCACAAATAACGAAAAGTACAGACGGACAAACGAACTCATACGGACACCGTTTGAGGGACACAGACATACATCCATCCCGACACATCACCATTGCAGCAAAATACATACACCACTCATTTCGATATTATTCACCATATTACTGCTTGTTTTTTTTCCTTTTAATGTACCTATGTTTAAGTCTACATAGATGTCTATATGGTAGAATATTAGATTGGTAGGGATCAGGCTAAATTCTCAGTTGTGGTGACACTGGGCGCTGATGCAGTTCTGTGTTGTTGGTGTTGTTGATGTGTGATTTGCAGAAATCGTTACATACAGTTATTATAAGTTTTGTTTTGTTGTTTGTTTGCTTTTTTTTCTGCTATGCCATTGTTAATATTGGTTTAAATTCTCATACCATAAATTTATAAAATATTAGCTTTTTTTTCTTCCTAAATTTTGTACAGAAAATAATTTTTCTGTAGATAGGGAAACAATTTTGTGTTCCACAATCTGTTCAGTAGACTTGTTGTTGCTGTTGCTACTGCTGTTGTTGCTGAGGCTGCTGCTGATGCTGATGCTGGTACTGCTGTTGTTTTTCAGTGTTGTTTGATTGATTGGTTTAAAGAGCAGAAACTAAATAATAACTTTTTGAACTGCAAATTTTTTTTATTTGAAAAATGGAATTTTTTTGTAGTTTTACGCACTTATATGTTCGTGATTAATAATGTCGTTTTTTTTTTCTTTTTTTTTTTTGTATTCTTTTATCATATATGACGTTTAAGGCAAGAAAAAGGATTATTTTCAGGTAGAGAGGGGGAGGAAGGGAGAGAGAAGAACGGGTAGAAGGAGAGGGAAGAGGAGAAAAAACTAAAAATTTTAGCGATAGCAACAAACTGCAGAAAAAAAGACTGTTGTTTTTTGTTTATAAGCGGTTTGTTGATGTGCCCAAATGTTAATAATAAACGAGCAGAAAGTTGATAGAGGGTAAGAAGGAGCAAAGTTTAAACAGATTGTGAAGAGAACAAACTTTCTTCAAATACTCAAAAGATTATTTTACAGACCCTAAGAGTAAATTAGTGGGAAGTTTTTCTACTTTTTTTTGGCTTAATTTATTAAATACATCTATAATGGTCATATTAATGTCTATTTGCTCACTTTCATTTTAATTAATTTATTTTTTTTTGTTTTTGTATAATCATTTTGGTGTCTCAAAAAAGAGCCTATTCAAACAGTCGAATGATAATAATACATATTTCAAGAGGTTTTTTTATTGGGGAGGGGGAGGCTCTGTCTCATTGTTAACTGCATAAAAACTGCAGTTGTTAGAAGGGAAAAAAGTGAACTGTCACTGGGTGCTGATTTGCGTTGAAATAACAACTTATTATAATATAATCCTATTATTTAAGTTAAGGTTGTAAAAAATGAAGGTTTGAGAATTCACTGTTAACTGTATTGAATATAAGCTTTTTGTCTGCTTATTTTGCTGTTATTCTCATATCTTTTTAGCTTGACAGACTGACTATAATCTACGATCTGTTGTAAAATGATACATAATCAAAAATTCGCCATTTTCTTTATTTATTTGTACTGCTAGTTGGGGTAATCTGCAACAAATGTATGTTCCGGATACAGCAGATGACAGTAATTGTTCCTTTGTTTTTTCTTCCTGATGTCACAGTCATCAGTGTCGTTTGTTGTTGTTTGTTGTTGATGACAGTGTTTGGTGTTGGTGTTGGTGTCGGTGTCGGTGTTATTGTGGTTGAATGTTGTTGTAGTTACCTAATGTACTGTTGTTGTCAAAGATTAAGCGGAAATACCCAAATGAATTTGTGTAGTATCTGTATTTTTCAGGGCACAAAGGCCGGTGTTGTCGATTCGATGAGCACCACAGCGATCTCCGGCGAACGCCGTACCAAGAAACCCTCCAACCGACCCGCAATCCAGATTTATCGTCCTCCAGGTGAAAGACATTTAGGGACGGTATTTATATCTTCTTGCTATTCCAGTTTCATTTTCTTCTTTCTCTTTTCATTTCTGTTTCTTTTCTTCTACTTTATAAATTTTTTTTTCTTTTTTCTGGTAGCTTACTTTATGTATACTTTCATTTCTTTGATAAACTTTTCGTTTAACTGTAACATCTGAATAACGAGTTATTACATATAAAGAATACTGCTAGCTGTTTTTTCTATATTAATGTATCGAAACAAAGACAGTAGGAACTGTTTACTGTACAAATAAGTAGATAACTATTGTTTTTTTTTTTAATATTGACACTAACACAGAATTGAACTAGGGAAAGATAATAGAAAATAGTAAATTGAAAACCGAATAAGAATGTAAAAAGAGTTGTTTTCTTTTTTCTTTTTTTCTTCTTTTATTTTTGGTGAAATAAATTTCTTCATTTGCAAATATCTAGACCTGTTTTTCAATACTTTAGGACTTAGAAGCGGTGAGGATGCAACGAACTCGAAACCGCCTGCAACTGCCGGTGCAAAGCAGTTGAAAAAAGATACCGCTAAGCGTTTAAGTGAAGGTCTATAAAAAGAAATTTTTTGTCTAATTTTGTTTTTATTTTTCGCTTATTATGGTATTTGATATTTGTTAATGTTGGTCATATTGAAATGCTTCGATCAGCAAGAAAAATATGTTTATTAGCGAATGTTTCGTTTTGCATGAGTAACAATGATACAATATGCCTTTTCAGACCCATTATTACTGGGCAATGATACGAATAAAGAAGAAAGGACACAATAATTTCATTGTACATATTAAATATAAATATATTTTTATTTTTGCCTTACAGAAAACAATACTTCTTCACGAAGCACTTTCGGTGCTACATTGAACGAATGTACACGAAAGAGTACCGAAGAAAGCGACGGCTCATTACCTCGTACTGATAGTGCTTTAAGTAACGACTCATCTAATTCCAGTGTTGTGAGTTTTTTGTTCTTCTTTTTGACGGGTTTCCAGTTTCTTTTTTTTTT